CTCACTATCACTGGGATAAACCTCAATAGAAAATGTGTGATGCCCTCAGCTTGGCTCACTATCACTGTGATAAACCTCAATAGAAAATGTGTGAACCCTCAGCTTGGCTCACTATCACTGTGATAAACCTCAATAGAAAATGTGTGATGCCCTCAGCTTGACTCACTATCACTGGGATAAACCTCAATAGAAAATGTGTGACGCCCTCAGCTTGGCTCACTATCACTGTGATAAACCTCAATAGAAAATGTGTGACGCCCTCAGTTTGGCTCATTACCAAGTATTGAATACCTCTGGCTTGTTTTTGTCCAGTGTCGAGGCAAATATTGACCAAAATTCAGAACATGTTCATAAAAACTTACAGCATATCACAGAAAGAGATCTACCGCTAGTATAAGCTACTGTTTGGTAAATCTTAATTGATTTTCTCTCTGCAGTTTTCAGGTTTATATTTGATTAATTGTAATATGTTTACAATGTTAATATTGTGTTGTTTGTCCTTTTGTCCTATAGGTAAGTCTCTGTCAAGTTAGGTATTGCCTGTTTTAACAAACATGTTAGCAAGATACATGTGTATGTACAGTCTGTAACAAAAGATGTAAAGGACTAGGGGTATTAAGAGTCATTTCCGGCCTCATAGGGGAGTTAAATTAGTTGTAATATTTGTAATCTGGAATAAATGAAGTACGCAAATATGGAATTTCAAATTCATTCGACAACTAGTTTAGGAGATATGGCATTACAAAGAGAGACATTTAATTAAAAAACACCATATAGAAGATAGCTCCAATTAACCAATATGATGTTTATAACAGAAATTAGCAAATAGATTCAAGTTGAAATTTTCACTTCTTATGAGGCTAAAAATGCTCCATGATCCCATAAGTCCTTTACATAAGTAGGCAGACTACTAGATGAAAATCAAGAATCTCAGACATGTTTTTTCACATCTGGCATATTTTAATCTCATTGAGAACTCTCATACAAATTTTGTTATTGGCATCTTTTGAGATCTGCTACAAATGAGTGGCATCTTTTGAGATCTGCTACACATGAGTGGCATCTTTTGAGATCTGCTCCCCAGGAGTGGCATTTCTTGAGCTTTACCTCTCATGAGTGGCGTCTTTTGAAATCTGCTACAGATGAGTGGCATCTTTTGAACTTTGCTTCTCATGAGCGGCATCTTTTGAACTTTGCTTCTCATAAGTGGCATCTTTTGAACCTGCTCTCATAAGTGGCATCTTTTGAGATCTGCTACACATAAGTGGTATGATTGGACTAAATATATTTGTATTTATTTGACCTTATCAGGAAATGATTTATTTTAATGATGGTCTAAGTTAAGCAATATACTATTTTTTTTACCAAAAGCTTTTATATATAAAACGTCTAACTGTGTATTTTGTTACTTCCTGTAGGCATGTAAACAAATGGAGGCATTTGATTTTGAATCAACGCCCCCTCCAGCCCCTCCCCCACGTGACCCCCGTCCAGCAACTTTCCATCCTCCACCCCCGCCCCCTCCGAACGAGTTCCCTGAGCCAGCTTATCTGCAAGAGGAGATAAACAGCCTGAGGGCAGAGACAAGCACTATGCAGGAACAGATTGGCAGACAAGAGGCGGAGCTTAATATGTATAAGGCAGCACTTGACAGTATTAGAGAGGAAAGAGACCGGTTCAAGAAAAAGGTAAATGAATATGTGATTATTAGAGGCGGAGCTTAATATGTATAAGGCGAGATAGGTTCTGAATGAATATTTATTAGAGGTGGAGCTTAATATGTATGAGGCAATTGACACTATAAGAAATGAATGAGACAAATTCAAGGGAAAAGTAAATGAATATATAATTATCAGAGGCAGAGCTTATCATGTATGAGGCAGCACTGACAGTGTTAGGTCTGTTGCTTGGAAATATAAACACAACTTACATGCTATAGATTGATATTAAATTCAGAAATGTGGTGAATTAGCAAAAAGTCTGTAATATTCATATTTTGGTTTATTGATAGGAACTCCTCAGTTTTTGTAATTTCGTAAGTGAACTCCCTTTATCAGACTTTGATAAGATTTTTTTCTTATTTCATTTTCAAAGTGATATAAGACCACACCTGTACTACCGTTTCCAAAATAGCATTAAATGTTTAATATTTAGCCCATCTTTGTTTATTAGTATGCATCTTATTCTCAGGTGAAAGACATCCAGTGTAGACAGCAGACATATGATCTGGCTTCAAGTCCGCAACACAGTCGAACAGCCACGCCCACAAAACCTCAACACCTTACCCCCAGTGGAGACAGGTAAGTCAATCCCTGTAACACCCACAAAACCTCCACACCTTACCCCCAGTGGAGACAGGTAAGTCAACCCCTGTCACACCCACAAAACCTCCACACCTTACCCCCCAGTGGAGACAGGTAAGTCAATCCCTGACACACCCACAAAACCTCCACACCTTACCCCCAGTAGAGACAGGTAAGTCAATCCCTGTCACACCCACAAAACCTCCACACCTTACCCCCAGTAGAGACAGGTAAGTCAATCCCTGTCACACCCACAAA